TTTTTATTTTCCTTTGTTATGCATAATATTTGCACCTTTGTAAGCTACATGACAGTAATCTAATGTACCTATACAAGAAACAATAAAAATAAGACAATAAACATTTCCAACTCTTCAAATGTTAATATTTTGTATATATTTTGTGAACGTTTTACTCTTTGAGTGATCTGTAAATTTATTATAGATTACTGTAGTCAAGATACCAAATGATGTTACAGAAAACCATAACTAGAGTCATAGATGACCTGAGTTTGATGCCTGGGATCAACATAGTGGAAGGAAAAACTTCTGACTTCTACACCTATGAAATGTCATATGTGCACACACATACACACACACTGCCAAAATGTAATAAAAATAAAGCCACAACTAATTCCTCATATGTGTGTTATGATACCCTTTAGTATGACTTATTTCTGTTCTCCTTTACCCACTTGTATGTCTCTCTTTCTAGTGACCACTTCTGAATTCTGTTCTTTAATGATCCTTGGTCTTTCTAACTCTAAATCACTTGTTTTTCCTATTATACTACGTTACACCTATTTTTAGTGTCTTTGTAGCCCTCTCTTCTTTGAAACTACTTCAGGGTTATATCCCTGTGAATGTCTCTAAGCAAGAAAACTGGGTAAATTGGCCAAGTTGATGAGTAAATGTAAGGAAGGGATAGATTAGTGACAGAACTTAAAGCTTGAAGTCCCATTAAGGATATAAGGTTTTGTGCTTTTCAAACCTTCTTTAGATGTCTTACAGCTTTCCTACTGGTATTCCAAGGTTAACTATATTGCCTGAGAGGGTAGGCATATTCTGAGTAGGTTACTGAATCCCTTGTTGCAGGCACACACCTGTGTCTAGGGATATCTATGAAATTATCCAAGTTTGTATCTCATGGCAAAAAGTTAGAGTAGGTACACATGACTAAAAATGGAAACAGAGACAGTTCATTAAAGAAAAGCACTCCTAACAATGGGAGTAGCAGAGGGAAGACAAGTTCAAAATTCCATGGACCTTTCACAGCAACTTCCTCTTCTATACTTGTATGCATCATAGGATATTCTTGAGCATGTCCCATATGTTGTAGGAAGCCAAGGCATAAAAAAATCTTCCAGTCCTTTTAATCAAATGGTTACATTTATGATACCTTAAGGCAGTTTGTTTTTCAGTTTGCATTATTCTGTCATACCCTTTGCCATGCCTATTATTTCTTTTCCTCCCCAAGTTACGTAGAACAGCTTGACTTTTATTTTCCACAGATAAGGGATGCTTACAGTGATTCTGTTTGTAGAAGGTATTCAGTGGTCAAAATTAAATTTTAACTATGTAAAACAACAGAGGACAGAAAATATCACCAACTTTACTCAGATGTGAACTCTGATAGTTGAGGGGAGATGTCATTCTGTAAATATGTTTCTCTTAACAACATTGACAAACCAACCTTATCCAGAGTGAACCCTGACAATTACAACAATGACCAGCCTCACAAGATGTACTCACTGGTGCAGTAGTAAAACTAAAGTCATGGAATTAAACAACTATTTTCTAATTTTATTTAAATCAGATACGGCCATGGGGAGAACTTACTATTATTACTCTGCCAAATGGACATAGTATTAAACTGACTTGTAATGACGTGACATTATACACATGGATTATTACATCTTCTCAACCATCAACACAGAAGCTTCCATTTGTCATAGATGGTGATTAATATAGAGACCCACAACTAGTCAAGGTGCAGAAAATAATAAACAGTGTAATTCTTATCCCTAAACAGAACATTTACATCACATTCCCCGGTCCAGAGGCTCAGGGATCATTGTGGAAGTGGGGCAGAAAAATTGTAAAAACCAGAGGTGGAAGATGACTATGAGAAAGCAGTGTTTTTTGGACAGTGTAAGACAGTTACACCATTGAATTCATACAAGCCAAGACAGCTTGAATAAGATCTGTGAGACATCAAGCAGACAAAATTCCAGATGGAGAAGACATGGCTGGGAAATTCCACTCTAACTAAGGAGTTATTTCCAATTGACAGTTGCAAGGAGAGGTGCAGTCCCTAATGTTGATTACCATTCAGTTGAAGGCCTTACATCTAAGCATATATGGGTAGCACAAATTGGACTTCCTGGGTTTACTAAAACAAGAAGATAGAGTTGAGTGAGTTGGGAAGAGTTTATGGATCTGGGAGGAATAAGGGAAGGAAATGAATATGATTATAATACATTGAACAAAGTTCTCAAAAAAAAAATAAAATTGAAGAAAATAAATGGGCACATGATCTTAAAATATATGGAAGCCTACTTATTTTATAAATGTTACTGGTAAAGTTTCCCCAGAGGTAAAATGATATGTGAAGGGTCATTGTTGTGTGTCCTTCAGAAACATAACCAGAATGTAAAGCCAGAATTGTTGAAGCATGCTTCCTTTGTGAAATAGTTAGCATTAGACACTAGAACCAAGGAAACTTATATAAGAAAGCATTTAAATGAGAGCTTGCCTATAGTTTCAGAGTCTTGGTCCATGATCATTGTGGCAGGAAGCAGACAGGCATGGCACTAAGGCAGTAGCTGAGAGCTTTATAGCTAGATTTACAAGTAGCAGGGACAGAAAGAGACGAAGGAGAAGGAATGAGGGAGAGAGAGGGAGAAGGAGGGGGGCTGGAATGGGCTTTTTGAAACCTCAAAACTACCCCCAGAATCATATGTCCTCCAAAAAGACCATGCCTCCTAATTCTTTCTAATCGGCCTAACAACTAGTGAATACGCATTTAAATATAGAAGTCTATGGGGGCAATTCTCATACAAATGACCACAATTTACCATATAGTCATACCATTTGTACTAATAAGAAAGTTATTATTTAGTCCCATATACTGTAGGCCGGCATAGAATTCAATACATTGCCAAAGGTGACCTTGAACTTCTGATTTTCCTTCCTCTGTGCCCTGCCAGCATTACAGACATATTCCACCATGTCAAGTTTTCCATGATATTAGAAAGTGGTCACAAGGCTGGCTGTGTGTATAGTTTTCAAACTCTCTACTCACTAAGCTACCTCACCACCCCTAGTTTGATAGCTTTACTAAAAATTAAGGCAGTCATTATTTCTGTCATTTTATTAGGTACCAGTCATCATGTTTCCGTACATAATTGTATTTCACTCCTAATGATAGTTCTACAAAGCACTGCTTTACAAAGGGTAAAATTTACATTTGGGGAGATTAAAATACTTTTTCCAAGTTTGCATTATCTGGAAATGGCAAAATTGATATTTCAATCAAGAGCACACGACTCATATTCCATATTCCTTGCAATGTAGTTCAGATATTAAAAAAAGAATGAGAGAAAGAAAAGAATAAAGTTCTATAGCTCATAGTCTAAATCTTGTCTGTTGCTTTGATTTTATAAATTTTTTGTATTCAAATGTAGCTAGATCATATAAGCTATAACTATAATTTGAAAAGTTATAGCACTGAGAAACTATGCTAGTAAAAGTAAAACAAAATATAGAGTAACATTTTACATTGGTGCTGCCAACCTGTGGTCTATAAGTAGCTGCTTAAACCCATATTTCAAAGGACTTCCAAGAGAAAGCACCAGGAATGTGCAGGATTTGTGTGACAGATATTCACCACTTATAGTCTCAGTGAAATCTGTGACTAAATAATACAAGCTCAGAAATCTTGCTTCGCTTGCCTTCTGTAGTCTTTACTGTGTTGACTTAAGAGCATCTATAATGACCTGCTTCTTGTGTTTCATGAGTCAGAGCACAGGCCTTATCCCTTCCCCTCCCTTCCCTGTCATAAATGCCTTAGAGCGTGGACTTGGATCCCAGCTTAATGGGTTTGGTCACCACCTTCCCCCTCTGGCTTCAAGGTCCACATGTATGTCAGGCAGGTAATCCCAGGTGCTGCTATGAACCAATCCAGTTGCTGTTGGCCACTGTGTGTTTCTGAGGTAGCTGACTCTGGTAGCTCCTCCCTTCTCTTTACTCATACTTCTACTTCCTTTGGCCTGTGCTGCAATTCACAAGGCAGCTCCTCAGTGGCTGAGAATACTTAAAACCTGTAGTTGTTTATGATTCAGACTTTGCCCTACCAGCTCAGTGGGACCTTCAGTCTTGCGAAAGTCCTCTTATTGTGGCCCATACTCCAGGTGCTTCAGGTTCGGGGCAAGTACGTGTATGCAGCCTGAGGAAAGAAGACAATCTCATCACCAAGTAAGGACACCAGGCAGTAGACTGCCATCTTATCTATACTCTTCCTGGGTCTGGGGGGGGGGGTGTAGAAGTAGTCATTCCCAATACGATGTGGGATATTCAGCTGTATCTGCATTCTTTCCATACATCTCTTTCTCAACTGCTATTATTACATAGAATGCACCTTCATAGAATCTTAGATTTGCGATTTTACAGAGAAGAATGGGTTCCTATCTACTTTAAGTCTCCTATCATACAAATAGTAAGAGGCCCAATGAAGCAAGGGGTTAGGCCAATTTCACTCAGCTAATTATTGCCAAAGCCAGACGAGCTAGGACTTTTTTTTTTATTTATTCCAGTGACTTTTCACTGCCTTTTCTTTGCAGAAGGGACAGAAATGGTATTTGGCTAAAAAACTTAAAAGAATCCAGACTACAGTTTTTAAAGAGATCATTGTGGCATTACTATTGTCACCATCATTATCCGCAGTTCTGCCACTGAGCTATATCCCTTGTCCTCCTATTTCTTAACCCAGGCAGTTGGAATCTGCCTGCGGGCTTTGGCTGGCCACACTGAAGATGCATTTTGATCCCAGTTCAGCAAAGCCAACTAGCAAGCTACATTAACAGCCCACCTCCTTGTAATTCCTCCGGAGATCCTCACCAGGATTTGGAAAACACCCGGATGTTGTCAAAGAACCACCCCGGGTTTTGTACCAAACCGGCGGGAACAGGACATTCCAGTAGTTTAGTTTGTGGAAAAGAGGGCACCCAGCACTGTCCCCTCCCCCTTTCACTCACCCCAGAGATCCTCGCCAGAGCCAGAGAGGAGCCCTAGATTTAATTCATGGGAAGAGCTTTGTAACCCGTGTTTACTAAGTAAACAGGGCTGCCAGGCTCTGGCTGGGGTCTGCAGTTCAGCATTGATGGGCCGCTGACATGAATTTGGAAGGAAGGAGGGAAGAAAGGCAGGAAGGGTTTTCCTTAACAAAGGTAAGCTTCTTTCTCTTTTGAAACAACCTCACTTGCCTTCCTATGCAAAATGACTATTCAGTTGGCTTTAGAAGAGTTCAGGGCCACTGGGAAAGAAAGTAGGTGAACTGTGAGTTGGAGGAAGTTTGGTTAGGTGTACAGGGAAGTAATAGGAGACAATAGACTGCTTTCCTTTTGTTCCTCTAACCAAAATGGCCAGATTTTCACTGGTCCCACTGTTTCTGGGACAGTCTTGAAGTCATCTAGAATAATTCACTTTGCTGTCCAAATAGCCTGTTCATCTTCTGTCTCTCAGGTTGGGAAGATTTATTGAGATCTTGGAACTGTAAATTCCAGGTCACAACCCTTAAAAACAACTATGCTAGCTTTCATATTTTTCAGATATGATAGACACAGCTAGAGTCAGTAAATAGTAATTGAGTCACACTAAAAATGTGCATTATTTTAATAATCATTTAAAGAGTAGTGTTTAATGACCAAAATGTATTAGGCATGGATTCGAATTCTGACCATGCTGATACCTGGCTGCATGATTTTGAACCAACCATTTCACCACTGTGGTCTCAGTTTTCTAAGTATCTCGCAACCACACACGCATAAAGAGTGGTCTCTAGAGGTTTTGTAGATATGTAAGTATATAGTTCAATTTAGAATTAACGAGTATCTGATATACTATTTGTGTGTAATATACAAACTACTTATATATTGCTTTAGATATCATCATTTGTTTGAGTCTCAACACAGTCCTTTGAAACAGTTGAAATAATCAGAATCCCCATTTTGAGGATGAGAAAACAGGGGCTCACGGAAGAGAAAACAATTTACTGAATGATAACTCATAGAGGCAAGAGATGTAATTTGAATGAGTGTCATTAACATCACTATTTTTTTCTATCAACAGAGTGGGAATACTTTAAGAAAGCAAGGAGCAGAAAGGCAAGTCTTGACAGGCCACTCTTAGGATGGTTGCTGAGAGTTTGGAGGCAGGGCTCACTTAAGATAGCTCCAGCTTCAATTTAGTGAATTTTTAAATCTGGGATGAGCTTTTAAAAGTCAGTGTAGTTAACCAATACAAGATAAAGGGAAACTTAAAAAAAGAAAAAAAAAAAAAAAAAAGAACAACAACAACAACAAAAAAAACCTTATCAGATTAAAGGAGCAACTTGCAAATTCTAGGGAAAACCTTGATGCAAATTGCCATGGTTGATAAGGCCTAAGCCAGGGGACCATAGTAACTGGAAGGAGAGGCTTTACTTTCTACTCAGGTTGAAATAAGGTTTCAGTGTATAGTAGTTAAATTATTAAATTATACTGCTTTCCAAGTAGTCCGGAAAGGGCCCTTAGCTTTTCTTTACTGCAAATGGCTCTTACTTTTTTTTATTTCTTAAAGAAACTTCCTCTTTGCTTTTACTCAGTACTCATGCTCACCTTATTTATCTCATTTCTTGCTTTCTTTTTCCCACATTGGTTTGGCTTTTTTTCAGCAGGCCCAGCAGCAAGAAACATGTCATAGCTCTGATGAAAAGTTTACACGGGGATGTCATGAGTTTCATCTAATTTGGTGGTCTTCATAAGAACCATTGAGAGGCCCAAGGTATAGATTTTTACTATTTAAGAAACAGGGAGCATAAATTCAGGAAGCTACATAACTTGCTCAGTGTCATGTAATAAAGACACAGTGAATATGGAAGTGGATTCTCTCTCTCTTTTTATTGGTGCTTGGATTCTTTCCACATTCATCATGAAAGGTCCAAGTGGTTCTAAAGGAAGTTTATGGGTTCTTCCTTTCCTCTGCCCTTAAAGTGTATGATAAAAACTAAAGTAAACAACATAAATGACAACACCAATGACAAATTCAATCTCAAGGCAGAAAAATAGGAAGTCAGTAATTTAAAGGAAGAAAAACTACTACTTAAAAGATGCTTGATAATTTCTAGATTCTATACCCATTTATCTTACTTAAATACAAAATAGATAGTACTAACAACTAAGCTTATCTGATTTTATATATATATATATATATATATATATATATATATATATATATCCCGAGAGACTCACACACAGAAAGAAAGTGTGGAGCTTACCATATAGCTTAGATTGGCTTTTGATCTCTTGATCTTCCTGCCTCACCCTTCACCCCCATGAGTACTAGAATTATAGGTGTGTGTCACTGTAACTGGCTCAAGGTCTAGTTCATATTAAACCAAGTCGCCTCTTCTTAAGAAGACAATGTCAGCCTGAAATGTGTGCATTTTATGGCACTGTAAGAATGATTCTATACATTAAATGTGTGTGTACAATGTATGCATGTCTGTTATTATCCATAAAATTAGAAGTTTTGAGCTAGGAGTAATTTCCTTGCTTATGCAACAACTTGGATTTCATTCCCAGAGCCAGAAAGAAAAAAAGTAATGAGAGAAATAAACAAAGATAAAACAGGCAAAGCTTTGTGACAATGGTTGGTTTTTATGTTCAAATCTATTTCCTCAGTTTTAATAATAACAGCCACTAGTACTTTCTCATAACTATCTTGTATGCTTTATACAGGTATAGATTGTTATTTATTTAATCCTCCCAACTGTATGAGGCAGCAAATAGTATTAAAGATAAAGACTATGGTAGATCTAGGCTTTGTCTAAGATGTGTGAGTCCAAAACCTCTGCTCTGTATGTAAAACATGGAAATCAATGCATATCTTATAGGACTGTGAGAAATAAGGTTGCAAATATGAAAAGCACATTGTAAAGGAAATACTGCTAGGTTCTATATTATCTAGACTTTGCCATTTTAGTCACCATTTTCAAACTTTGAATGCTTGTTCATTCTATGCTAAAGGTCTGTACTGTCTCCCAGGACAGTTCTAAGACTATCAGGTTAGACTGTAGTCATGCAACTCTTACCTGTGACTGTTTTCTCTCTAGGTAAATAAACTGAAGGCACAGCTGCCTTGCTGGTAACTTCTTGAGAAGGAAGTTTGAACAAGATCCAGGTGACATTCAGACATCCATTGAACAAAGGGAATGGGTAACAGTGTTTCGATGCATAGTATTATATGTAGGTACATTTGACTGTACCTGTGTTTCATCAGTAAATGTGAGTATCAGCATCATATGAGAGAAATGAGTCTGTGAGAACTTTTTAAATACTAGAGTTTTCATAGTTATGCATATATGTATTTCCATTAGATTATGAAATTTCCATAACTTCTACAATATTGTATAGTTCAGCTCTGTATGTTTCACTGTTTTATAGGTGTGAAACTGGGCTTGTTAAGGTAAAGAAACTTGCCTGACATCACTATTCAAACTAGTATTGGAAGCTAGACTGGAGCAAACAGATGGGAACACACATGCCATGCTTATTCTTCTTTCTTTCATGTTAGCAGTAGCTGCTATGGTTGCCTACTAGGCCCACTATACTACATCTGACAACAGATACACAGACATCTGTATTAGTTGACATCCACTCTCAAGGATTTTATAATCAAATGTGGTAAATTAAGGCAATTTCTTAGGAACCAGCAAAGATACATTAGCAAGCTAGTTAGGTGAGAGAAGGAAAAGCTTGAAGTAGGAACTATCTCCTGTGTGACAAACACTGACATTTCTAGGGCTCTTTTAGGTAAAATTTCCAATTTAGTCTTCCAAGGCTGATAATAAATTCACTTTACACATGAGTAAGCAAGATCATAGCTGTTAAATAATAATAATCAGGTTATATAACCAATCTATAACCAATCAGTAGGGCATCCAGGTTTCTGCAAGAAGTCCTCACCACAGACAGGCCTGTCTTTATATCTAGGGCTTTCTGCCAAACATAGTATGGACACTGGTGATTAATACTAACACAGTTGCTGATAGTTCATTAAAAAAATTCTTTAAGTTTGATTTTAATCAGAGTAAGTATCTGGGCCTAACTAGAGTAAATATCTGAATCTTTCCTGTCCATATGTAAATCTGTTTATCTCTTTTAATTTTTTGTGGTACTAGGGCTTGAATGAATTAATTACACAATTCATCAGTTTTACAGAGTTTCTTCTCTGTATGTAGCCCAGGCTGGGCTTGAACATGTACTCCTCAAAGCCCTGATCTCCTGAGTGTTGATATTAAGTCATGCACCACCACACCCAGTAGAGACTGAGTTTCTAGTTTGGGGTAATAGTCCCTATTACTTATGCTTTGAGTTTAATGAAACAGTTTGTCCAAAGCACTGAACATGGTGTTTTGTGTTTAGTCATATCTCAGTGAAACACAGTTATTATCATTATTATGATTAGCTCCTTGTATGATTATCTGTTTGTTTTAAAGTAAACATAGCCACATGCAATTGTATATTTTAGAATGCATGCAGTTTTTCAAGATAGAGCTGAGGCTGTGAGTGTATGCATGTTTTCAGTGTGTATACCAGTGACTGTGCAAGTATGTTTTTGTGCCAGCACCATAGGTGCTGGAGTCATATTTCCTGGAATTAAGTCCTAACTCTAACATTTGTTAACTAAGATGGCAAAGACAAATTACATCTCTGTTTTCCAATTCCTCCACTACACCATGGGGAATAATGACATCTACTTCATAGGGTGGTTGTCAGGCTTAAAACATCTAATTTATGTTAGATGATTAGAATGAGCACACAATAGACACCTATTTATTATTGGTGTTATTCTGAACTTGATGGTGTCTCTATGCTGACAGTATGGCTGTATATGGGTGTAAATATGTGCATCTGTGTTTTTAAGTAAAATAATGTGTACAAATGTTAATGTGTATTTATATTTATGTTTTTGAACTGTGTATGGTACTACTAGTGCCTCCTTCAGGTTCAAAATTCCAACCTTCTTGCTTAAAACACTGAAAAAAGAAGGTAAGAAGGCTGAGTATGGCAGTCACTCAGGATGGAACCTGTGAAATGAATTTATGTACAGCATTGGGAACCAGCTGAGAATCTAAGCTGTTAAAACTACTTAACTCATATACTATCATTTATTTTTGTTCCATCTTTATTCCTTTTTAAAGCCAAAAATGAAATGTGCAAAATGTCTATAAATCCTATATTCCTCAGAATAGTCTCAGAAACCAAACACACCCATATAAATACAATATAGATAAAGTAATAGAACATGCTTCTTCCCTTCCTAGTCCCGGATATTTGCTTCAAGGGTGAACATTATCTTTGTTTATTCTTTATAGTGTTAGGGATGGAACTCAGGAACTAATGTACAGTGTGCAATCAGTAAACAGCTGAGCTCTTTTCTCACCTATATCCTTACTTCTAGTAGAACAGATTCATTTTCTGTAGTTTGCCATTTACCTGGTAAAATCATGTAGTATGTATAGTTTTGGGTTTTGTTTCTTTCTTTAGAGTTGCACTTGCCATGTCTACCTATAGTTTTGTGCATAGTCATAGCTTATTCATTATTATTGCCATTCTGAATTCCATTGTGTAAGTAAAATGTAATTTACTCAAGCATTTTAATATTGATTGGCATTTTGGAAGTTTTCATTTTGGGTCTATGAATATTCCAGTAAATATCTTTTGATGATTTCTTATGTGTTTCTAAATATAATTTATTGATTATGGGAAGTAGCAGCTATGAGTCATTTTTGCTTAAGGGAAAACACGCAAAATACTGACTTGATTAAGGTACCAAGTCAGTCAGTATAGTCTAATCATGATTCTGATGACTGTTTCCTGATTCGAGGGTCAGAGTACATTCTTTCTTCCACACTGCTGAAAGAACAGAACTCAGGCTTTTCTTTTGAAGGAAGCAATGCATGATTGCTAGTATAGGTAAATTTTTAACTTTGTTCTCTAACAACTTTTGTATAGAGGCCACTGAAAAGAATCTAGCGAGGCTAAAAAAAAAAAAAGCAACCTGGATTAATTGTGTTTCCTTTTTTTTTCAGCCATTTCATTTGTTTCTTGCTTCTACAGTTTTCAAGATACATGCAAAATTTCTTTGTTCTCTTTTATCTTTTTTTTATTCATACCAGCAGATTCCATTCCTGGTTCCTCAGAGTAGTGTGGGCCATGAAGCCAGGCCATTTCCTCTGGGCTTTACTGTTCATGCACAGTTGGCTTCTACCAACTGATGGGGCCATTCGAGACTACTACCTGGGCATCCAGGATGTGCAGTGGAACTATGCTCCCACAGGAAGAAATGTCATCACAAACCAGCCTCTGAACAATGACATGTAGGTTTAATCTCATATATTATTAGATGCAAAGATAAAAGAGGATATTCTTTAAGTCAACAGATAGTCTTTTGAGGGTACTTTCTCAGGGTACCACAGCAGCCAGTTTGGACCACACATGCAACAACAGTTTTCCTAGAAAACAAGTTGGTTTAGAACCCAGCATACTGTCTCAAGTTTGCGCTTTAGTAATGAAGCACTTAAGCATTTTTAGATTCATAAAATAAGTCCATATTCTTTTCTGCCAAAGATGGGATTCAAAATGCCCATCTATCAACAGCTGTTTCTTTATTTTTTTTTAAAAAAATGAAGTGTATACAGCATTTCTAAGGCATGTGTAATGAAACTATGCTCGTCTGGTGAAACTACCCTAATTGTAGATACATGAGAAAGTCTTATAAGCAAGGAATAGCTCTTAGACACTATCTCTGGGGAAGGAGCCATATTAAACATCTACAATTATGTCATTCAGTTCCTGAGAATTCTCTTGGATGTATGAATATCATCAATATTGTGGTATGAGGACAAAACTCAGGATCTTATACACAATAAATATGAACTCTACCACTGAGCAACATGTAACTATAGGCTATCATGATATTATTGATGACAAAATAGGCTCAGGAAAGTCATGTGACTCATTCAAATCCTATAGCCAATAAACGGAGGATCTAGGATTTGAATCTCTGTAAAGTAGATGTGTGTACTTGATTCTGTTTTTACCATTGCACCCCTTCTATTTTTTCCTTTTTTGCTTCTCTGCATCCTCTGGCCCTCTGTACCCCTCTACTCCCCATTTCCCCTCTCTTTTTTGTTTTCAGAGATAAGATCCTACTTGTACTCTGCCACAGGCTGTTCTGGAACTTACTGTGCAACTCTTGCTATGTTTGAATTCATGACAATCCTCCTGCCTCAACCTCCCAAACAATGGGAAGGGTTACCTTTCTTGATCTTAGATACTGATTGGTGCTTCACCAAGAGGTAAATAAACTGAATGTATTGAAGCATCTTTTGCAATAGTAGTTCATTTTATCTCTCCAAAGCTCACAGTTTTCCAACTTGATGTACTAACAACTCTATTTTTCTCTTTCTGTTTTTGTAGTGCTGCCATCCATCCTAGGACCTCATATATTGTAGGCAAGTGTTCTACAACTGAGATGTATGGCCAGCATAAGTTGCCTTTTGACACAAACCATTCATCCAACTTTGGAGTTAGAACTCTTGTATTAAAATTGCTCTTTAAAGAGTAACAGTTTGCCACTTACCTTAGTAATTTGAAGTAATAGCATTGAGCTTTTTCAATTTTCTAGGTACTAGCCAAAAGGTTCCTAAAGTTTTCATTTACTTTTTTTGTTTCTCATAGTCCTGAGAATCAATCCCAAGGCCTTATACATGATAAACCATGCATTTTAAGACTCAAGACATAATACAATTTTAGTCACCATAACATATTTAAAGTCAGATCCCACAATAGTCTTCATTTAGAATATGAAGAAATTATGTACATAAAAGTTAAAGCAGTTTTTCAAATGTTCCAAAGTTTTGAAAATGGATATTTAATATAACTGGTCTGACTCCAAAGCCTGTGGTCATAGCCACTATGATCTTCTGCTGTCTTTCTATAGCAGTATGATGCTAAGGGTTACATGAATGAGGAGTTTTCATTTAAGGAGAGTTGTTACACAGCTGGTTATCTCCTTATCATTGTACATTTGTTTGCATGGTGTAAAAGTGACTCTTCGTATGTTGGTCAAAATTCAGCAATTTCATATGACTCAACTTTCTACTCTATATCATATTTTCACAAGTGCAATCCAAGTCCTCATTTATTTTTATCAGCATTTTCTAGGAAAGAAATATCTAGTTGTTTGAAGATGGTAGAAAATTGTAATTATGTCTTGCATTTTCTCAGAGTGGCTTCCAGCTTCCTAAAGTCTGGCAAAAACAGGATAGGGAGTAGTTACAAGAAGACTGTCTATAAGGAATACAGTGATGGCACATACACCGATGAAGTAGCCAAGCCTGCCTGGCTGGGCTTCCTGGGACCACTGTTACAGGCTGAGGTGGGGGATGTCATCCTTATCCACCTGAAGAATTTTGCAAGTCGGCCATATACTATTCACCCTCATGGAGTATTCTATGAGAAGGACTCAGAAGGTAAAGCAGCCTACCTTTCCTTTCTTACTTTTCTACTGAGGGCTTGGATGCTATCATGCCCAGTCCCAAATAGCTTTTCCCTTACTGATTTACCACAGCAAAATTTTACTTAGAGTAAACATGGCTGTGTACCAGTACATACATTGTGTAACTTGGGCAAGACATTGCACTTCTCTGGGCTTCAGATTTTATATGAGGAAGATGAAGGCATGGTCCCTTTTTATTACAATTATTAGAATTCCATTTCTACTGAGTATTTAAGTATGCCTTTGAGAGACAAGTTCTGTGAAAGTAATGGAGTGATATCCTGATTACTGAGTCTTCCAGAAGATCTCTGTTTTGTTTTTTAAGTATGTTCAGTTTATTCTTTATCATCTTCTAATAGTCAAGGCACAATGGCCTAAGGCAGATACTGTAGTTAGTGAGGGAATTAAAGTAGGAAATCAGAAGCTCTGGTTTGGGATAAGGATGCAGAGAAAGGGAACTTTTTTATACTGTTGAAAGGAATGTAAGTTAATATAGTGGTCAGGTGCTAATATGCAGTTTCTAAAATTAGAACTATGTATTGCCCAGAAATTCCAATACTAGGTATATATCCAAAGGAAATCATATCAGCATGTTGAAGAGAAACATGCTCCCATGATTCCTGCAGCACTATTCACAGTAACCAGATTATATAATCATCCTAAAACTCCATCTACCGATAAATTGACAATGGGAATGGTATATAGGACTGAGGATATGTGGGATAGATTTGCAAGACCCTGCGTTCCATCTCCAGAGCTGCACAAACGAATTAATATATAAATGTCATATATATGAATATTATATGCATGTATATGGAAATTACATACACAAAAAAGAAATATTTTGTTTTATTTCAAAATGAAGTAAACTGGAAGGACACTACATTGAGTGAACTAAAACCGCTACAGAAAGATAAGTACTTGTGATTTCATCATGTATGAAATCTGAAATAATTGATATCATAGAAGCTGAAAATACCAGAGGCTGGGGCAAGAAAAAGAATGAGAGTGGGGAGAGATTACCCAAAGTTCAATGTTTGGTGTTCTATGGCACGGTAGGGTGAGATATGTGTAACAATAACACTTTGAAAATCATAAGGTAGTGAATAGTACTATGGTGATAGACACCTATGATTTCAGCACCTAGGAGGCAGAGGCAGGAGTGAAATGAGTTCCAAGCTACCTTGGGATATCTGGAGAAGCCCTATGTCAAACAAACAACCCCTTTCATCAAATTAAAACTATTAGAAGAGAGTTTTTTTTTTAATGTAAAGATATAAAATTACTCACAGTTTTATTTTCTCTATAGTAAGAAAGTAAACTCACTGTTCATTAAATTGACTTTAAGCTAAATTGTGTTTGTTCTTTTCATTCCAAAGTGAGTGCTTAAAACCACGGGCTTTCCTTAATTTCAGGCTGGGTCTCCTTATACAACCCAGGCTAGCACTTTAACTGTAGACCTTCCATCTCCTGAATGTTAATAGAACTGTACTGCAATGGGAGCTTGAAAGGAAGTTCTGCATTTTCTTGGCTTTCACACAATTTAAGTTAAACGTGATTTTTTTTTTTTTTTTTTTTTTGGAATATAGCTCTTCTCAAGTGGTTTCTATTTATCTCAGAACTTTTAATTATTTTTACATAATTTTAATGCTGAAAACAGTAAATTACCAAATTCAAATCCTCTTCCCCAACCACTCTCCTTCAATATCTTCCCTATCCTTTCACCACCATTCCCTCTTCCCAACTTCATGCACTATTGTATTTTTAAAGAGGACATAGTTCTCCACTTAGTGCTGCCAGTATATACATGGGTGGAGGGCCATTAACTGGAACCTAGTAACCTCTTGGGGACCACATCCCAAAGAAAATGGACTCTCCTCTCCCAGCATCCATGAATTGCCATTATCTCTTTAAATAAGGGCAAAACTTCATGATTCACTCCTGTATCTGTGCTTGGGTTTTGCTTGGCTTGATCTTTTGCAGGTCTTGTGCATGCAATTTCTGCCCTTCTGAGTCTATGTGTGCACTGCCTTCTTATACCCAGAAAACATCTCTCAAACTATCAAAGAAACCTCTTTTTTGTAGTGGATGGACATTAACACAGAGACCCACACTGATCAATTGCAGAGAATTGGGAACTGAGAGGTGCTCAGCCCGAATTGGGATATCTATATTGCATCACTTCTCCCAGGGCTCAGGAATGAGTAGCGAAGAGGGTGGAGAAAGATTTTTAAGATCCAGAAGTAGTGCATGGCTTACAGTAGCTTCTCCCTTTTGCCTATTGTTGATGTGAGAACTGAGGTAAGGAACACTGTAGTATTGAGATTTAAACAAAATATCCCACACTTCTTTGTATTTTCCAACTTAATTATCATTATATATATATATAATGATAATTATATATATATAGTGTGTGTGTGTGTGTGTGGTGGGGGAGAGCATGTGAGTGCCACAGTCTACAAGTTGAGAACAACTTTGTGGAGTTAGTTCATTCATTTTGGCTTTGTACTGATTCTTGAGATTGAACTCAGGATGCTCAGTAACTGTCTTTACCTGATGAATGATTTCACTGATTAATGTCTTCTCTTTAATTCTGTATTTGCTATAATCTTACTCACCCTGGTACCAGACATGTACACTTTTATTTTGTAGGCTCACTGTACCCAGATGGTTCTTCTGGGTACCTGAAAGCAGATGATTCTGTTCCCCCGGGAGGCATCCATGTTTACAATTGGACTATTCCAGAAGGCCATGCACCCACGGCTGCAGACCCAGCATGCCTCACCTGGATTTACCATTCTCATGTAGATGCTCCACGAGACATTGCAACTGGTCTCATTGGACCCCTTATCACCTGTAAAAGAGGTAATTACCCAGACAACCAGCCATAAAATGCAATTTGTGACATCTATGGGAAGCAGTGAGATAGTTAAATCAGTATCATATTGAGTTGCAACCTGAGTGGTGCCTATTTATTAGCCTGTCAAACTCTCTTTTTCTACTGTTGTATCTATCTTATTACCTTTAAAAACACCAAATAACTCCAGTACTTTTCTGTTATTTCTTATTTCACTTTAAAAATTCAAATTAGTGATGATGACAGCCAACTCACATTTGAATAAGGTAACTAATAAAAGCTTAGGTTGGATCAGATAGAAAATGGAGCCACCAGAATTCAAGGATTCAACTGCTTGATTTGAAATGGGTTATTCTCAAAGAGTAGTCAGGTCTGAAGGCCAGGGGACTGAAGGAATTGTGTTAGGTCTAAGCACTAAGCACTAAAGATGATGGGAGGGTTATTCTAGGATCCATGTTTTCCTTCTTTATGCCATATATTCATTTGGCAAGTTTGGAAATGAAATGTAGCATCATAAACAATTTCTGTTGTTGATAAACCCATAAGGTCCTTTTCCCTCTTTTCCTATATTTTCTTATGAGACCACCTGTAGGGAGATAGTCCTGTGGCACTGACCACGCCCACTGGGGGTGGAGCCATGGGCGGAGTGACCTGGGGAAGGAGGTCGGAGGGGGCCAGGAAAGGCGCTCTCTTTCTGGCGTGACTAGGACAGGAGAGGATAGGGTTGAATTTCCTGGTGTTCATCTGTCTAGGTTGTAAGTTATTTCTCCCTGAATAAACATCTATTCGGCCTATTTGTTTATCCTGATCCTTATTTACCGTGATAACCACCTCCTTGTTGCCTGTTATCAAGAACATTTTTGTGCTTGTCCAGGGACCCTGGATGGTAACTCCCCACCTCAGAGGAAGGATGTAGACCATAATTTCTTCCTCCTCTTCAGTGTGGTAGATGAGAACCTAAGCTGGCACCTTGATGACAACATAGCTACTCACTGCTCAGACCCCAACTCAGTGGACAAAGAAGATGGAGCTTTTCAAGAGAGCAACAGGATGCATGGTGAGCTAGGAGGAAGTGGCTGCATTGTGACAGTGGAGACTCTTATGTAGAATTTCCATTAGGCCTACTATTTGTTGGGTTCATTCATATGGGTTGTTCTTTTAATACAAAGATCAAAATAGGTGGAAAGGTGAAGGGCATGTGGGTTTTCTTTTGTCTTTGAAAATATTGAGTATCATATCATTATGAATCAAAAAATGGCACAGCTCAAGTCTCATTTCTGATCTCTCCAGTTATGCAGGCTTTACCCCTGCAATTAAGATTTTTTTCATAGTGTACAATAGATAGGATTATTGATTCTGAATCATATATGATTTAGTCACCTGAATGAGTTGCCTACTGAAATAAGTAATTAATATTGCTTTGGTTTTAAAAGGACGCAAGATGGCAAAATTATCTACTTTGTGGATAAAAATGAGTACTTTCAAGATAAATTCTTTATATTCTACTTCTGGTTTGTATCTATATGTTTTTTTTTTAAATTAGGGGAGAGCACAAATGCATTTCCCCACAAATGATGCAGTCAATTTCCCCAAATTTGGGGAAATCACAGAGGTCAGCATGTCTGGAGTTCAAAGGATAATTGGCTAATGTCTATAAAAGTATTGGCTATATCAAATTAAAGATAAATAAAAGTACAGAGCCCCAAGTACAGAGAACTGATTTTAGGAATAGAACTCTCCTGATTTTGTTTAGTGAAGGAAAGATATTTGCTACTTTTGGTTATAGGGATATACTTAAGGCCATAAAGGAGCTAAAATTGTACTGGACAGATGCATAGGATGGATTAGTTAGTTTAATTATCTTAAGCTTTATAAAGATAGATTCCAGTAGCCATGATAGTCAGGTAATGTAACAATCATACTGTCGAAATTTCAGAAGGAAATTGACCAGAAAGGAAAGAATGGCTTGGGGAAAAAAGTCTTACAGGACTTCCTCAGATCATTGGATTTAAAATATTGGTTTTGTCACTTAATAGATCTGTAGTTCTTACATCGAAGTAACTTCATGTCTTTATGTCTTGGTTTTCTAAGTTTTTTGATTGAGACTAATAATATTTGTCTATTTTAATTATTTTTCAAATTTAAATGAAACAAGGCATATATATGTTCAGTGCAGTGTTCTTTAAACCTTCATTGGAATGCTATCTACTCTTTTTGTCAGATGGTAAAAAGATTTTCCCGTTTATCTGTCTTTTCCTAATGTCTGATTTTTTTTTCTTCTGCAGCAATCAATGGGTTTGTCTTTGGGAACTTACCAGAGTTGAGCATGTGTGCACAGAAGCATGTAGCCTGGCACTTGTTTGGCATGGGCAATGAAATAGATGTCCACACAGCTTTCTTCCATGGACAGATGCTGACTACTCGTGGACACCGCACTGATGTTGCTCACCTTTTTCCAGCCACCTTTGTGACTGCTGAAATGGTGCCCCAGAAATCTGGAACCTGGTTAATTAGCTGTGGAGTGAATAGCCACTGGAAAAGTAAGGTCTAACATTTTTCACCCTTGGAATATGTGATGAAAGTGTACTCAATGATCAGTAGCAAGTGGTGCTTCTAGCTTGAAATCATCTAACAGATCTTCCAGGCTTCTTGGTGTAAATAACTAGAATGAAGTCAGATATTTAGATTATTTCTTGACTTTGCCATTAATGGGCTGAGTAAATTAGTACCATTGTTTGTCTTTAAATTTCCTGTCTTAGTTAGGGTTTTATTGCCATGAAGAAACATCATGAGCACAGCAAGTCTAAGAAAAGAAAACATTTAATTAGGGCCTGGCTTACATTTCAGAGAGTTAGTTCATTATTATCATTTCAAGAAGCATTGTGGCATGCTGGCAAACATGGTTCTGGAGAGGTAGCTGAGAGTTCTATATCTGAATCTGCAGGCACCTGGAAGTCACAGTCACACTAGACCTGGATTGAGTATTTCAGACATCCAAACCCTGCCTCCTAGTGACATATATTCTCCAAGAAAGTCACACCGACTCCAGCAAGGCCATACTTTCTAATAGTGCCACTTCCTAAGTGCCTATGGGGGCCAATTTTATTCAAACTATCACATTTTACTCCCTGGTCTCCCATAGCCTCATAGCACTATCATAATACAAAATGCATTTAGTGCAACTTCAAAAGTCCCCATAGTCTATAACAGTTTTAACCCAGTAAAATTCCAATGTACAAAGTCTTTTCTGAGACTCATAGCAATCTTTTAACTGTTATCCCTTATAAAAATAAAAATCAGATCACAGGCTTCCAATACATAATGGCACAGGATATGCATTACTATTCCAAAAGGGAGGAAAGGGAACACAGTGAGGAAATACTGGACTAAAGCAAGACCAAAAACCAGGTGGGAAAACTTCAAACTCTGAATCTCCATGTCTGATGGTAAAGTGCTCTCCAGATCAAGCTTTGTTGACTGCAACATACTTCTCTTTCTTGGTCTCTTTCCATTCCCTGTTAGCAGCTTCTCTTGGCTCTGGCGACTCCAACATCTTGGGGTCTCCAAGGAAATCCAGGCGTCACCTTCACAGTTTCACACAATGGCATCTCTAGGCCTCCATGCAGGGACACCCCTGATACATGTCTGGCCTCAGTGGCTTTCCTTAGTCATGGATAGAGATTCTATAATCCATTTCTTCTATCCTTGACTCTAAAGACAGGACCATATGGCCAAAGCTGCTAAGTTCTACTGCTTTCTGGGGCTGGAACATAGACCCCTTGTTCAATTACATTTTCACCAGGTTTCTGTGTTGCCATAATATCACAATAACAGTCCTTCAGTCACATACTAATATTCTTCTCTGATACCTCTTGAACAAGGCATTCACATTCAAATCACCCTTAGCACTATGTCTTTCATGTTCCTATTAGGATGGTCCATTAAGCCCCACTTAAAGAGTTCAACTGCTTTTCCGATCTGAAGTCCCAATTCCTCCAAACACACATACACGCTTCTGAGGCAGACTCCTTATTCTTTTCATTTACAAAAGATGTATGCTCAGACTGAAGGCTTATGTAAGGTCTTCTAGATAGTGATACATAGTTGGCTTAAACTTGGATATCCTGATAAGTCTTTATGATGTTGTTGCGACATAGATATTTTGCAGAGAATAGGATGAAGATCTGGTAAGTGCATCACTGATTGCATGGACTCTCTCATTTTACAAGCCAGGTTCTTGAGTCAGGAAAAGTGGCTTATTGGGAGATAGAGGTAAAGAAACTACAAGAGTATGAACAGAGATAAAACAAAGAAAAATATGTTCTCTGAGTAGGAATTTTAGCAGTACAAAGGGAAGATGTGTTTTTCTTCCAGGTGGTATGCTTGCCCTCTACAAGGTTGAATCTTGCTCCATGGACCCACCTGTGGACCAACTCACAGGCAAAGTTCGTCAATACTTCATTGAGGCCCATGAGATTCAATGGGACTATGGCCCATTAGGGCATGATGGTAGAACTGGGAAAAGTTTGAGGGAGCCAGGAAGGTAAGAAACAGGGGGATCCTGTACCTTCTCCTACTCAAACACCTGTTATACTGCTTTTTGAAATCTCATTTTACTTGGAAGGTAACAACCTTGCCTAGATGGGATTGCTATTATAATCCAACTTTTTGTGGTTCTCTTGTTTGCAGTATGTAGCAAACCTTTTGCAATGCTACGTCATGCACTCAATGTTTCTAATAGAATTTGATGTTGTTAGTGATGAATGTGTGGCCATGTTTAGAATGGAAAGCCCAGGTGGTAACAGTTCCTCATCAATCAAAATGGCTTCTCTTTATTTTTATCAATTATTTGTCTCCATGTGGGGACTTCTCCAGCTTCCTTTCCTTTATATAAGAGCCACATGTACAAAGGTTAGAACAGAAGGTTAGCTCTTCACTCAGTTACCAGGTTCTTAAGTTTCCAGCTTATTGGACCATTGTCAGTGCAAGTTCTTTCCAGAGGCAGCACTTGGAAGATGACTAGGGAAACACAAAGATACTTGGATACCATTCTCTCAGTAAGAAATAGAATGGATATAGATGAACCTTCAAAGTTGACAGTAACATTCTGAAACATCATCTAAGATCTCCATCAAGGCTTATCTACATAACAGGTTTTCATGTTAAAGTGAAGAATTTTTATTTTCTTTTAATAACAATGAGTTTAATTATGTTTCTCTTGTGGGCCTTTAACTCCTGGACTAAAGTGATCATCCTGCCTCAGGTTCTGGACTAGCTAGAACTACATGTATCTGGGGACTGAAAGCATTCACTAATGTGTCCATCTAAAAATATTGTTGATAATCCTGAATAAAAAATGGGACAATAATTTAGAATAGAAATAAGGATAATTTAGAATAGAAATAAGGGGTATTGATTGACTGGAGGGTGAAATGCAGCAGCTAGATTGGGATTTATTCCCTCTACCTAAATTGAAATCACAGACCAAAAAAAAGTTTTCAAATGCTGGTTTCTAGCATCTCCCCCCCCCCACACCGTCTTTGACAGCAGCAAGTGATCGCAGCAGGCAGATAGAAGTAGCAAAACATCACCCTCTTATATTACAGCCCTTATGTGGGATTTAACAATGAGACATTTAGTTGCACAAGAGTATGTGGATTCTTGGCTTTTGGCAAGAGCTAATTTTATGTTTCTTAGTCTGGAATCTGAAACCCTTGACCCTGAAGATTTAAGAGCTCTTTGAAACTCTATTGGTATCCAGGGTCTACGGGTTCTTTCTTCTGGCTTCTTTCAGTCTGCTCTCTCAATCTTTCCAATTCCACTCCCTGTCTTCTTTCTGAACTGGCTACTTCATTTGTTCTTCAGCTTTCATTGCTCTCTGCAAAAACTTGGGGTATCAATTTTTATATGCTGGAGCATAGTACATCTGGGGCACCTGCTACTGCTTGGGAGTCATTGTTGTTTAGAAATTGAGCGTAGAATATGGTAGGAATTATGTAGGGATAGAGTACCTCTTCTCATTGAAAGAAGAATCCTTCCTGATCTATGAAATTCTGCTTGAAATTCTGCAGCTATTATGTTGGCACTGCTGGGTAGATTTGGGCCTTTGGGCATTGCTCTTGTGTAGGTGGGAGGCTTCCACAAATACCATTTCTTCAATTATCAAATGGCATTTGTCAGTGCTCTGTACTGGCAATCCTGGCCCTGGGCTCCCAAACTGTGCAGTGGTTGCAAGCAGGTCTTTTTGGAGTTCCTCCTGGAAATACAGCATTAGCTTCTCGGATTGCCATCAAGGCTGCCTGTTCTTCTTCAGCTATGAAACAGCAATGAAAGCAGCAACATTTTGTATTTGGGAGCTTGGGGCTAAGAAATGTGTGCTGGGCTGGTCAGCAGGAACCCAGGGATCAGAAGCGACATTGGAAGTAAAGGTGGTGCTTGAAAATTTTGGGTTTATACTCTGCTCATGTGTGGCACTGGATGGTATTGTATTCAAATTTTACCTGTATAAATTCTTCAGCTGTCAATCACTGGTCTGAGATCAAGTTATTGTTGAAGATAGGAATTTGTTCAGCTTCCAAACTATTAGGCCATGCATGGGTTAGTATGGGGCCTATGGTATCAATGTTTACCTCAAGGAATACAAACTTGTTAGTTTAGACTACTGCCACTTCCAGTTTTTCACATCAAGACCATACAACAACAATAAAATAGGTAAAAGGCTACTTGAGAGAAATATTTACTGGAGCCAATGCTGCAGTATAGGAGAGGCAGCACAGTATAGTGTCTTCGCGCAGCCTAGGTTGCCTGATTCTACAGTTTAAGAAGGGGAATTTGGATGAAATCATAGTCATTTGATTTGTCGATCATAACCATTCCTTTTACAATCCCAGTTAATTAGGCTGTGTTTTAGATCAGTCATAGTACTGCTCCACCCTATGGCAATAGCTCCCTATTTGAGTAAGGTGAAAATGTTTTATCAAGACTTCTGATTGCAAAATGTCTGGCACAAACTATTTTAGACAGTCTTGGCTAGAACTGTACCTCTAGGAGCCAAGACAATCAGTTGTAATCGTTGTGTCTCAAGGCATCAATAGTTGGTGCTGCTACAAGTATCATCTGGCTGGCTATTAGACATACTCCTTTTTCCCATGGCAGCTCAGGCAGCAAGGCATTTAATAGTTGCTAATTCGAAAGCCAGATTGGCTCATTCCTAATATTTTTGTTTGTTTATTGGAAAATGAATACCACAAGGGATCACAGTATAAATTTCTAGAACTTATTGTCAGTAATAGAAATGATCTTTACTTTATATGTTGCTTTTAACTTTTTCCTTATATGTATATATACTATAGAGTAGGCATATGACTCCCACCTTGTTCTTCCCTAATTTCCCTCTTCTCACTCCTTCCCCTTCCCATAAGTAACATTTATTTCTGTGAATAGTTAATTCCCTTTATTTCTGATTATACTTTTCTGTCATATATACATGCATGATTTTAAGTGACTATAAAATCTAGGAACCACAGAGGATAGAAAACATACAATATTTATCTTTTGAAAGCTACCATAATTTGATGAATATGATTATCTCCAGTCTTATCCATTTTTCTACAATTAATGTAACTTCATTCTGTATAATGGCTGTAAAAATTCCACTGTGTGTACATATCATATTTTCCTTATCCAATTCTGTGTTGTTGGGAGTGTAAGTGGATTTCATTGCCTACCTATTGATGATGTACAGATCAAGAAACACGGGACAAGGATAAAATATGGTTATATATTTTATTCTGGGAGAAGTCACTTACATGAGAAACCAATGACCCACAAGTTCCCACTCCAAGGATAAACACCCAGGCTGCTCTCCGTGATTTGACAGGAACCAAGAGAGAGCAAGCTTATCCTAGACCCCATACCAAATACCACATGCTCACCTATGCACCTGTGACCACATGCAAATGGGTGTGGTCAGTGCCACAGGTGAATGTGGGTGGATCTCTCACGACAAACTCTGCAAACTATTTTGTATAATGCTTCAGTAAACACCAGTGAGCAAGTATCTCTGTGATATGTTGAATTTGTGATCCTTTGAGTAAATACCTAGGCATGGTACACCTGGGTTATATCATAGATCTATTTCTAGGTGATGAGGTGATGTTTCCTTCCTTCCTCTTTCTCTCCTTCCTTCCTTTATCTCCTTCCTTCCTTCCTTCTTTCCTTCTTTGCTTGCTTGCTTCTTATATTTTGGGTTGTGAGCCTAGCCTTTAATGGCTGAGCCATCTTTCCAGCCCCCTTGCTTGCTTCTTACAGTGTATAAAATTTTCTTTGTTTCCATACCCGAATCAACATTTACTGTTGTTTCTTGTCTTCATTACTGATATTCTACCAGAGGTAAGATAGAATCTCAGTCTAGTTTTGAACCATATTTCTGAGATGAGGAAGAACATATTTTCATGTGTGTTTATTGAACATTTGTATTCACTGTTTGAGAACTGTCTGTTCAGGGACTAGGTAGATGTCTCAGTTGGAAATATGGTTTGTTCTGCAAGCATTAAAACTTGAGTTTGAATCTCCAACACCTACATGAAAAGCTGGACACAGCTACTCATGTTTATAAACCCCAACAATGGGAAGTAGAGATAGTTAGATCCCAAAAGCCATCCAGCCTAATGAAGAGGCACGTGAGATATTACCTCAAGGCAGTAAGGTGAAAGAACAAGAGAGGAAGATACTGTCCTTCTCTGGACTTTTCATGTCCACACATGGGCATATGAACATACATACATATATGCATGAATCATGTGCACATACAACACAACACAACACTTACAAAAGAGTTTTTTAAACAAACAAAAACAACTACTAGTTTTAAATATTTTACATTGGCTTGGATTTTTTTGTACATTGATACAAAGTTAAGATTATTTTTGGTAGAACATACTCTACATACATTTCTAATTTTGTTCAAGGCATTGTACAAATGCAAATCATTTAACATGTTATAAATGTTTATGCCTTGAAAGTTATTATTACTAGCTATTTAGGATAATAAGGAAATGTAGGTTAGCAATTAGTCAGCTATTAAAACTGAACTTGTAAGTCATATTAGGTCAAACAGAGATATATTTTAGATAGAGAGGTGGTCTTTAAAACACTTCAGAGATCAACAGCATATGGCAGTTAAGATGTTTTAGTAACCTAGGTTTTTTTCTCTTTTTATGACAATGAGACATGTCTGTTCCTGGCAGCACCAATCTACTTCAGAGAAGATGATGGGCATCAAAGAAACTCCACATAGAGTTTACATTCTTTGTGCCAAAAGTTAGCCATTGGGTAAGAAAGTACTCTTGCCTTGATTGCTGACACTATGCTGTCCAAATTGGACAAGCAAGACAAACCAAAAAGGACAGCTGAACTTTGCCAAGAGAAGGGAGGACAGCCGTTCAGAATATCCTACTTCACAGAAAAGTCTGTCAGATATGCTAGGCCTATAGGCTAAGGACAGATGCCCCAATATTGCAGAGAAATCTTGGGTGCCTGTCCAGGCAGCCAGATGTTTCTGTCATTTCTCACATTATTTGGAAGTCGCTTGCTTATGCTCCCTGCTTACTTAAATAATATCATTTCCTTCGTGGATCTCTGATGGAGTTGAAGACTTTATAGTTTTCCTTGTTACCAGATTCAGCAAAGAAATTCCCTAAAGAAATGTAAAATGTACACGGTTGAAAGATATAAAAAGATAGTTTTTGTAATATAAGTGAAAATAGAAGTGAATTAAGTACAATATTTTGGACTCTCCAAGACAGGATACACATGGAGTATTTTCTCTGAATTTGTCAATTGTTAATGGATTAGACATTGTTGATATATGTATTCCCTGTATATATTGCATATAGTTATTTACTTGCTGTATATAGTATTTCTTGTATTGGTTATAACCTTTTTTATTTTAGACAAAAAAGGGAAATGTTGTGATATCTTGTTAAACTCTAACAAATAAAACTTGTCTGAAGATCAGATAGTTGTAAGGAGTACGGTTTTTCCGCCTGCCATCGCTGGTCTTGCCGCTGTGTCAGCCCCAATTAACACACAGAGACTCTGTATTTGATACAATGCTATTGGCCAGGTGTTAGTTTCTTATCAGCTAGCTCTGTCTTAAGTATTAACCCATTTCTGCTGATCTATGTATTTCTCTTACTGGGGAGCCGGCAGGCATACTGCTTTCTCCCACTCTCCATCTTGGCTCCTCCTTCCTACTTCCTCTTTCCTTCTTGTCTCCTAGTCCCTCCTATCTTCCTTTCCTATTGGCCAACGGTGCTTTATTCATTAACCAGTATGAGAAACATATACAGAATGACATCTCCCATCAGATAGTGGAGTTAGCCACTAGTTAATCATAGAGTTCTGGAGGTCTGTGCAGACAGAAAGTGATATGACTGGGCTGATAGAGGAAGGGATAAGGCAGGAGGAGATAGGAGCTCAGTCTCTTTTTATATGGAAAGGTGAGTAGCATTTAACCTTGCATCTGACTCGAAACATCAGCTAGCAAAGACTTTCTCCCATCATGCAGACTTTATCTTCACTTGGTTATATGTTTCTGTTGCTGTACAAAATTTTTCTTTTTAATTTCAAATGTTTGCCATTTCTCACTGTCAGCCTTATATTCTAAACAGCTGTAGTCTTCAGAAAGCCATTATCTATGGCTATCTAGTTTTATTTTTCTTTCTTTACCCTTTAGCAGTTTAGAAATTCAAGTCTTACATTAAGATCTTTGATTCATTTGGAGTTGATTTTTGTACAGGGTGACAAATAGAAATCTAATTTCAATTTTCTACATGTGGTGTCCAATTTTGCTAGTACTATTTGTTAAAAAGTCAGTCTTTTCTCCAACAAGTGTTTTTGACATCTTTGCAAAAATTCAGGATGCTGTAACTGAGTAGGTGGCTTATATGTGGATCTTTGATTGTATTTCATTTATCTACATGACAGTATTTATTACAGCTCCATTATGCTTCTTTTTTAAATAAAAGGTGGATGGTTATTTTTATTTTTTTATTTTTTGAGATTATAATATAGTTATACTATTTCCGCCTTCCCTTTCCTCCTTCTAAATCCTCCCACATACCTGTCCTTCCTTTTACTTTAATCATTGTTATTACTATAGGTTTATAATATAACTTGAAATTAGTTATGAAGAAGAAGACCTCTAGCATTATTTTCTTTGTGTGATCAGCATTACTTTGCTGATCTGGCATCTTTCATGCTTCCAAATCAATTTTAAGAATTTTTTTTTCTGTTTCTGTGCAGGTTGACAAAATGTTATGGACATTGCATTGAATCTATAGATTCCCTTAATAGCATAACCATTTTCACAGTATTAACTCTTCCTTCATGAGCATCTGATATCTTTCCATCTTTTTGAGTCCTATTTAATTTCTTTCTTGAGTATTTAAAAGCTTGCATTGTATAGATTGTTTGCTTTCTTGGTTATATTTATCATAAAATAACTTTGGGGGAAATTTTGATGGGCCTGGTTGTTTGATTTTCTTTCTTAGCATGTTTACTTGTGGCATATAGGTAGACTACAGATTTTTATGTATTAATTTGCATATGTCGAAGTATCACTGCGTCCCTGGAACAAAGTCAATTTGATCATACTATTGACATATTTGATTTATTCTTGAATTTAATTCATGTGTATTAACGAGATTGCTCTATACTATATATTTTAATTTGTGTGTGTCATTGACTTTATCTCATGTTGGTATTAGACAAATTCAAATTTTGTACACAGAGTTCAATAGTGTTCCTCTCTTTAAATAGCAGTGGGTTTTAAAAGAAACAAACTAACTAACAAACAGATTTCAAGTTTGGGTAATATCTGCCTAGTTCCTAGGTAGAGTGTTCTGTATGGAGAATGGAACATGACAGTTGTGCATTTGATGTTGAATGAATGCCTTATATTAAACATAGAACAACCAGGGATAAATGAATAGTAAAAAAACAAGCAGAATAGAGATGGAGAACATCAGATCAGACATGTATGTCATTCAATAGAAACTGACTGGACAAACCCTGGGAATCAAAACATTTAGCTGGAGCATTTGACCAGTAAAGAGGGTCCCAGGTACAATGTCTTTTCTTTAGTGAGACTTCTCATTAGTGGTTCCTAGTTATATCATGTTACAGTTTTAGGGTAAGCCATAGCTGAATCTTTTGTTTTGAGAAGGTACTTGGAAATGATTTGTCTTTCTCCTGTGTTCAAGAACACAGTGTTTTGACTCTAACATTTTACCCTCCTTCATGGTATTTTTAGTCCTGTCATGTTTTGCTGTTCTCATTTAACTTTCACACAGGGCTGGGGGATCAGCCTGTCCCTGGACAAGTGCTTTTGGAAGATAAAGACAAACAGGCTTGGGCCTGAAGGGGTGGGACCCCACCTCCAGAGCCAGTTTCTCAGTGAGCTTAAATATCATATGGCAATTTACTAATAATCTGTATATTTTATAAGACAGTCCCTTCATTTGTCTAGAGAAATTTGGGATATATGTGGGGTAAAGATGGCCTTGTGATGGCAGGATGTGCAAGAGTATAGGGAAGTTCTTGAAGGTATCTGGTTCTGAGGAGATTAGATTTTGCTGCTCCATCCAGCTGTCTGCCTTGGGCTTGCAGATTATGTTAGTGACTTTTTTGTTTGTTTTTGTTTTTGTTCAAGCAAAAGCTGTATTCCACCTATAGTGCTGTCATTGTTATGAACTAATCTAGATGGTTCACAAAGATCTAGAGGTTTGTGCATTTAAGGATGAGGAGATGGAACTCTATTTGATACTTAGTGAATTCATTTAACATTTACCCTCCTACTTGTCAGTGGCCCAGATAAATACTTCCAGAAGAGCTCTAGCCGAATTGGAGGTACTTACTGGAAAGTTCGATATGAAGCCTTCCAAGATGAGACATTCCAAGAAAGGGTACATCAAGAAGAAGAAGCACATCTTGGAATACTGGGTGAGGAATCTTTAACTTTCAAAATTCATTAACTAGAGACAGAAGAAGTGATGAGAATTAATTAATTAATAACTTGAGCCTGATGCTTACAAAAGTGATGTGTAAATGCAAGAAATGAGTATTTGTAAAAAGTGTCCCATATCTCAGAGTATTTTAAAATTAATGTTTTAAGCATAGTCCAGTAGAGTTTTTCTGTGACTTCTGCAAAGCTTAGGTTGTTTTTGTTTATGATAAATGATCACCATGGAAATGGAAGTTACATATCATTTCTCAACACTCACTAATAAAAATGTTTTGGTACCACTCCCTAGTACCACTGTGGTACAGATTACATTCTGTGAATTGCCTCTGTAGAGTTATTCTTGAGGAACTATTTAAAAGCAGCAAGGCCATCCTGAATCCTTTTAGTCTAGAGCAAGAAGCATACTCCTACCCTTTGGTTTCCATTCTTCACCTTTATTTTTATTCTCATGGTCTCTATTTTCTATTTCTAGGACCAGTTATAAGGGCTGAAGTGGGTGATACCATCCAGGTTGTCTTCTACAACCGTGCCTCCCAGCCATTCAGCATGCAGCCCCATGGGGTCTTTTATGAGAAAGACTACGAGGGTACTGTGTACAATGATGGTGAGCTGGAAGGGTTTACAACAATATAGGCTGCAAGTGGCTCTAGAAGAAAAGTAAACAAAGAGTTGGGAGAAAGAGCAAAGTTGTGTTCTTGTGAATGAATGATGGAATAGTGAAGCAGAGCCTACCTCATTAATAATAGAATAATTTTAAAAAGTTTAGAAATGATCCCTGGACATGCAGTCTTACTAAAAGTATTTTTAGAAGGCACAGATTTAGTGTAGTGATAGAGTTCATATCCTGCATGGGTGAAGTTCAGAGTTCCATTCTCAGCAGCAAAATAAAAATACACTTAAGTATATTCTTATTATAAAGTATATATGCTATGAACTTTTGAAAAACATAAATATATAAAATTATAAATCATCATTCATAAACAAACTGTCATGTGAATTTTATATGCCCTTTAATATTTTTGTGTCTGTAATTATATATTTAAGAAATGAGATGACCTGATTTGAACAGTTTTTCATTCTACTATTGTCTGCATTACAATGTCTTTAATCATAATATAACATTTTAATAACCATGTAACACTCTTTGATAGGGATTTTCCATAGCTTCTTTACTTTGGCTTCTATTGTTCAGACATATAACATTGTTAATAGCTTTAAATATCACAAACATTAAAAAGTAACATATGAATGTGTATATCTTAACTTCATGGGGGGATTTATGTCACATGGCAGAATGCTGTAAGTAGGATTACTCTAATTTCTTATTTTCTCTGATGATATATTCATATGCTCAGTCTAAGATAAATATGTAAAAAACACTGAATACATAAATGTCAAAGTTACAAACAAATATAAAAGAACTTTCTATAAGGAATTCAGATCTTTTCCTTTTATGAAGTCAATATTGTAAAGGAGGGGACAGAGTTACACAGGTAACAACCAAATGCAACATGTAAACTTCTACTGATCCTTGGTATAAAAATAGCTTAAAGAATCATCCAGAATCCAGATATGAGGGCACACATGTAATACCAGTACTTCAGAGGCTGTCAGGATGTTTGCAAATTTGAAGCCATCCCGGTGATATTAAACACATTTAACATGATGGCTCATGTCTAAGATCATAGCAGTTGGGAAACAGAAGAGGACTGCCAGGAAGTGTGAAGCTACCCTGCTGCTACTTGTTTCCAGGGTAGCCTGTGCTGCCTAGTAAAATTCTGTCGCAAGAAAATTAAAAAAAAAAAAATGAAACAAAGCAGAAACTTTGGGGATAACTTAAGAAGTTTGGGCATAGATTAGTCCTTGAATGATATTAGGGAATTTCTTAAATGTGATAATGCAGTTTTGATAAAACAGAAGAAAATGTTTAAGATATATTTTGTCCTATATTATTAGTTCTTTGAGAGTTTCATAAAATGTATTTTGATCATATGCACCTCTCCACCCATTACTCCCAGATCCATCCTCACTTCTCTACTAACCCAACTTAGTATATTAAAAAAATAAAACAAAACAAAACAACAATAACATAAAAGACTCAACTCCCATTTGTGTTGCACATATACTCTTGGATATGTGTCCTTCACTGGAAGGTATTCAACACATTAAAAACACTTTAAAACAAACTCTCCCTCTCCAAGCAGGCAATAGCTTCTTAGCTAGGTGTACAAATTTGTATTCAATTCCATCTCTAAGATGGAATTTTGTCTGGCTTGAGATTGTTCAGGCCTTGTCCATTCTCTCTCAGCTGCTAATGAATTCACACGTACAGCTACCTTGCTGTGTCCATCTTGTAGCTAGCCTCTACCTCTGCCTATGAAGATATTTCTGCTCCCTTTCTGTAATTATTTTTGTGCTTTCGATATGAATATTGGGTTTAGGCAGAGCCTCTTTTTCTCTATACCTTGGCCAGTTGTGAGTTACTGTTTTAATCACCATCTATTGAAAAAAGAAGTTTCTCTGATGAGGGTTGAGAGATGCACTAATCTCTTCATAGAGAAAGACATCAGACTTTAGGAGTGAGTTTCATGCTATGCCAAATTAGTAGAATGATGGTAATAGGTTCTCCCCCAGGGCTTATCACTTGTCTATTCACAGGATCTTGGCCCCAATAATAGTTATAGGTGTGGCTTTCAACTTGTGGGACAGGCCTTAAGTTCAATCACAAAGTGGTTGTTTACTCTCACAGCATTGCTTTGCAAGTGGTGTGTCTTGCCAGGCTGCCTATTATTGTAGTTCATAGGCTTCTAGGCTAGGTGAGACTGGTTCCTTTTCTTTTCCTGTGGCATTCTAATCACCACCTAACATGACAATTAATTAGTAGGTATGAAATTTCCAGGTGTATCAGCCTGATTTCTCCATGTTCTATGACTCAAGTGTATGGTGGCTTCAGCAACAGAGCTTTGCTATCTAGTTCTAGATGGTAACCAAAAGCATTTGCAAGAGCCTTTAGTATTAGGGGTCAATGAAATCTTACTTATCAACATTTCCAAAATAGATAACCCATTCCTGTCATTGGACTTATTTGTTGGCCTGTGGTGTCTATTAGGGACATGCTGTGATGCTGTGGGGTAACTCTATACAAATTATATTTTGATGGTGCATGAGTATATTGTAGTAAATGTTTATAGTATTAGGTTTAGGTTTCCCATATCACTTTTTCAAAATGTCCCTAGTGATGTATCCCTAGTGATGTATCTTTTTATTCCCTCATTTGTGCTGCCATGTCACTTTCCTTCCTGTCCATTATTCCCCTTTAACATTACTGTAATGTATTTCCTCTCCCTTGAAACCTATTGATGATCAGATCTTTTTATATATTCTGTGTACTAATCTTTTATTAGATAAATACTTGGTAAAGATCATCTCCCATTCTGTAGGCTGAAACTTTGCCTGAATGATGGTGTTATTTGCTGTACAAAAGCTTTTCAGTTTCATGAAGTCCTATTTATTAATTTTTGGTATTAGTACCTGTGATATCTGTTTTATTCAGACATTTCTTTCTTGTGACTGTGAGTTCAAGGCTTTTTGCCATGTTCTTTTTTGTCAAATTCAGGTTATCTGGTCTTATGTTGAGGTCCTGGATCCGTTTGGAGTTGAATTTTGTACAGGGTGAGAAATAGGGCTCTACTTTCATTCTACTTATAGCTATCCAGTTTGATCTGCACCACTTGTTGAAGATGCTGTTTTTCTCCAATGTTTTTTGATGACCACTTTGTCAAAAGTCAGATGGATGCCAGAATGTGGGCTTATCTGTAGCTCCTCAATTCTATTGTCCATTGAACAATTTGATTCTTTTATTGTCAGTACCATGTTATTTTATTACTATAGATCACTAATACAACTTGGAATCTGGGATAGTGATACTTCTAGCTTGTTTTTATTTTATTTTTGGATTGTGTATCCTAGCTCACTTGTGTTTTCATGTGAAATTTAAAATAGTTTTGCAATTTCTGTGAAGAATTGCACTGGAATTTCACTGAATCAGTAAATTGGTATAATACTATTTTCACAGTATTAATGCTGTGAGCATGAATATATATATATATATATTCTTTCTGTCTTCTGGTATCTTATTCAATGTCCTATTTGTGTGTCTTAAAATTTGTATTGTACAAGCCTTTCAAATCCTTTGTCAGATTTAGTGCAAACTATCTTATTGGGGGATACTTGTGAAAGAAATTATTTCTTTCATGGTATGTTTTCCCTCTGTTATATGAAGGCTATTGTTTTTTGTCTGTTAGTTTTCTAGTCTGCTACTTTGTTGAAAATGTTTACCAGGTACAGGAGATTTCTGGCAGAGTATTTAAACATGCTAAGCTATATAGATCTATAAATTCATGCACTTGTTAGATTTTTGCAGCCTGGTGGAATATAGTTTTTTTTTTTATTTTTTTTTTTTTAGTATGTCCTCGTGGCTCTCAAAAATTTCTTAATTTCTATTATATTCTGTCTTTTCATTTGTATTTTTTCTTAATTTGTATCCCTAGTTTCTTTTGATTAATTTGACCATAGGATTATTAATGCTTTCAAACAATGGATTCTTTTCTTTGTTGACTCACTGTATTTAGTTTTTTATTGCCATTTTGTTAATTTAGCCTTATTTTGATTACATCTTCTCATCTACTTTTTTGGAGGGTGTTGTTTGCTGCTGTTTTTCAAAGCCTTTATTTGCATCACTAATGCATTCATTTGAGAACCCTTAATTTTTTTATGTAGGCATTTAGTGATTAACTTTCCTTTTGGGACTCCCTTCATTATGTCTTGTAGATTTTTTAATATTTTTTTCACTTTCACTCAATTTTAAGAAGTTTTTTTATATTACTTTTAAAGAGTTATCAGAAACATTTTAATTTTTTATGTATGCATGTGTACCATGTGCATGCCTGGTGCACACAGAAGCCATATCTGGAGTAATGTGAACTGGGGCCATGGGAAGTTGTGAGCTGTCATATGGATTCTAGAAAGCAAACCCAGGTCCTTTGAAAGAGCAGCAAGTACACATATCCTCTGAGCCAACTCTCTAAACATTTTAGGAATTTTTAAATTTTCCTTAATGAATCTACTTCATCCTTGATCCAGTTATTATTCAGTTGTGTGTTGTTAAAATTTCAAAAGTTTTTATACTTTCTGTCATTTCTTGGCTGTTGATATCTGGTTCTATTTTTTTTTTTTTGAATGAAAAAGAAACTAGATTTATTTTTTAGTGGCAGAATTAGCAATATTAGTATATAGGAATCCTTCCCACTGTTTTTTTTTTTCCTTTTTTTTAAAATTTATTTTATATAACCAAGTCCATTTAAATGAAAACAAACATTTATAGACAGTATTTGGGAATTTGGGCACCGTTCTTTCCAAACTACTTCCTGCTGGTAAGGGGCGCTGTCATGGGGGATTCTAAGAAGATGCAGAAATCCTGGCTGTAGTCTGTAAGGCTGCTTTGTCTAGCTACTTTGAGTCACCTGGTACTCTGTTTCAGGCAGTCTGGCTTGATCAAACCACATTAGTCTGGAAGGAATGAACAGCTTTTCATTTTCTGTGGAAACAAAAATAGAAATCCTTTTCCCCAGTAACTTGTCCTTGAACTTAAAGAGATGGCTCAGCTGTTAAAGGCTAGTCTCACAACCAAAAACATATCTGGTTCTATTTTGTTGTGGTTAGGTAGAATGCTGGATGTGATTTCAGTTTTTCAATATTGTTGGGTCTTGCTTTGAGTCCCAGTATGTTGTTTATTATGGAGAACATTCCATAGACTGCTGAGAAGAATGTGGATTGTTTGACATTTGAGTGGAATTTTCTGTGGATTTCTGTTAGTTTCAATATATTTTCTTTTATGTTATTTCTGGATGTTCTATCTATTGGTGAGAGGCAGGTATTCATGTCAACCACTGTCACTATGCTGTGATGAACTGGAGGTTTTAGATCTAATAGTGATTCTTTTATAAAATCAGGTACCCATGTGTTTATGTTTATGATTGTAATTACTTCTTGGGAGCATTTTTCTTTAAGGATCATGAAATATGCTCCTTACATCTCTGACTAATTTTTTCAGATATTAAAATAGGTACACTTACTTCTTTTTCAGTTTTATTTGCTTGGAATACATTTTTAAACCCCCTTACCTTAGGGAGATGTCTGTCTTTTATGGTGAAGTATAATTCTTGAGGTCAGCAAAAATATGAACCCTCCATCCTAATAATCTGTTTGTGTCTTTTTATTGTAGAATCAAGATCAATAATCTTCAGTTGTTACTGAATGATGTGTTAATTCTTGTGACTTTGTATATTTGGTGTTACTTTCTTAGATCTCTTTGATTACCTGTCCTGGTATTGCTTATTTGTTTCTTATGGCCTCTTGGTTGTATTTATTCTTCTCTGCAACTTGAAATATTGCTTCTAGTATACTCCAAAGACTATATTCCCTTAGTCTGTTTTTTACCATGGAAATTTTGTTTCTTCTTTAATTTTAATAGTTTTATGGATTTAATAGTCTGTGTTGAGAATTGTGACCCATCAGGACTTGGAGTTATCTTTCTAGACCTTTTTGACTTTAAAGGCTTTTGTTAAATACTAATTGTTGTTACAACAGGTTTGCCTTTAGATGTGACCTGAAAGGTCTACTTTTTTACAGCCTCACCTGCATTAGGACTATCTCTTTACTATTTTGTCAAAATGAGAGTCTAACAAGCAACATCAATGCAATTCACTGTTGCTTAGATTAGCATTTATTTAATTGCTTTATTTTAACATTACTTATACTAAGTACTATATACCTTACTTTATTTTAAGACTTTTGCATTTTGCCAGTATTATTTTCAAAGTTATTTCTGTCTACATTTAAACTCTCTTTGTAGGTAAAGTGTGACATGCTATCTGAAACATTTTCACTGCACTGATTATAAAATTTATAAAATATTTGCCATTTTGTTAGATCAAAACCATTTAGGTGCTTTCATTTATACGTCTTTGATTATTAATATGATGAAAATTAAAATAACAATACATTTCTGTGCGTTGCTTGATCATGCTGTGTGTCCATATAAAAGATTACAGCCTTACAGCCTTACAACAGGCTTCAGGTCAGTGGTAGTACTCTTGTCTAACACGCAAAATGCTCTCAAGTATCACATTGTCTATCACTACATGTTAGTGCCATCATTGTTGCCTTAAAATGTCTTTGTAGTTTTCATTTTTATTATACTCTTTGGAGCTGATGATCATTATGATAGTCAATGTGATTAATGGCTTCATGTTTGCTTACAGGTACATCACATCCTGGCTTGGTAGCCAAGCCCTTTGAGAAAGTAACATACAACTGGACTGTTCCTCCCCATGCTGGGCCCACTGCGAAGGATCCTGCCTGTCTAACCTGGATGTACTTCTCTGCTGCAGATCCCGCAAGAGATACAAATTCTGGCCTGGTGGGCCCTCTTCTGGTTTGCAAGGCTGGCGCTTTAGGGGCAGATGGCAAGCAGGTATTTCTGGGGAGTCTGGGTAGGAAGACTGGCTGGAGAGAAATAGAGTTGAGTTTCTGGGTATGTGTCAAGAGTGGGGCTGGATCTTGGAGGGAAGGGAATAGTAAAAAGATAAACCAAGCAATTATACCAGAAATTAATAGCAAGTGACTTTCTATTCTCATGCATATTATTATCCATGCAGACACATATCTTTCTTAGTTTGTAATTCTTACTTTTTCCATATCCCCAAATCATTATTCCCCAGCTCACATCAGTGGTCCACAGCATTGTTCATAATCCATAAACCCACTTTAATATTTGTTTGTCATTTTTTATCTAGCCCATCATTTCTGTGTAACTTTGAACAAATTATTTAAAATTTTTTTAACTTAACTTTTTCATCTGTAAAGAAAGGGTTAACAAAGGACATTATCTTTGATTTCTGTTAGGTGTAGGTTTTCTGACAGTCTTGTCACACTGCCGTGCCTGCCCCAAATAATATACAGAGACTTTGTATTTGATATAATTCTGTTGGCCAGTTACTAGTTTCTTATCGACTAGCTCTGTCTTAAATATTATCCCATTTCTATTAATCTAAGTATTTCCACGTGGTCTCATCTTACTGGAGAGAGGGGCTGGCATTCTGCCCTATAGGTTCTCCATCCTAGATCTTCTCCCTACCACTTCCTCGCTCCTCCTAGTCTCCTACTCCTGCCTATCTTGCTTTCCTACTAGGCAACAGTACTTTATTCATTAACCAATAAGAGAAACATATTAACAGAATGTCATCTCCCATCATCTCCTCTTTTCTGTCTAAAATAAAAAGAAGGGTTTTAACCTTAACATAGCAAAAGTTGTAACAAAACTGTTATAAAATAAGAACCACAGTCAACATTTAGTCCATTAACATTTAGCAAGATTTAAATATTTTATCATCTATCCTATCTTTGTGATTCTAAAGTTATGTAACTTATCTGTAATCCTAACTAAGGAAAACTATAACCATAACTATCTGTCTTCAACTCCCTCAAAGACCACAGAAGGATAATATATAAACTCTAGCAATGACAGGGATAACTCACTGCCTGGTCAGGCACCCGAAGTTCTTCTGTAATGTTCCATCTTCATCCCATAGGCCATAGTGTATCTGGCAGACTCCTCAGCAAAGCAGGAAAGTTTAAACTGTCTTCTTGTGTTGGCAGTTTGTCAGTCACTTTTCTCTGTGTCCTGTAGACTGTCTGGCAGACTCTTCCTTGAAGCAGGAACTCTGTAGCACTGTCAATCTTGTATCAGCAGTCACTTTTCTGTGGGTCCTGCATGCCCAGTTTATACAGCATAAGTCAAAGAGTCCAGACAAGAGCAGTATCTTGTCCAAATGGTTAGTTTTCCCATATTGAAAACAAACTCCATAACGAGTTTCTTTGATGTCCATCTTCCGTTCTGACGCAGGTGGTGTTGCCAGGAGCAGTTATGTCTCACTGTCAAGAAAAACCCTAAACCATTTTAAATGCCATATTCTGTAGGTCTTTGAAAGGTTTGAAGAATGCATATTCATCTCAAATACATCTCTGTACATCTAGAAATCCTAACTAACTTAACTCTAAGTTTTCATTATCATAAATAATTATCTATAATCTGTGTTAAATTATACATTACATTTCTAAATGCGCTATACAACCACAATACCTAAATAAGAGGAGAAATATACATATCACAAAATTGACATTAAATTTGTATCAACAGACCTGTGCAACTAGGTCTGAGCAGGAGCCCGGGAAAGTTCTCTTGCTGCTGGGATGCTGGGACGTGGAGAGGAGAGCATCTAGCAGATCCCCTGGTGTCCTTTAAAAAGGGATTGTTGGTTTTGAACATAGGGAGAAGAACTAATGATCCCTTTTTAAAGGACACCAGGGTATCTGCTGAATGCTCTCCACTCCACATCCCGGCAGCAAGAGAGCCTTCCTGGGCTCCTCCTCAGATCTAGTTCCACAGGTCACTTCCACCCCTGGCTCTACCCCCAATGGGCATGGTCAGTGCCACAGAAGCAGACAAAGTGAATATCTCACTACAGATTTCTTTGAAGAATCATAAAATTAATGCATATAAAGTGCTTACTACAGTATCTGGCATATGGTAAACACCCAGTAAACATAAGGTTTAAAAATAAATAATGTTAATACGTTTCTAATTCTTTTTAATTTCCTAATTTTCTTCCATAGACCTTCCCTGATTTCTTAGCTATTTACCCCTCCATTCTCTTCCTGGGTGGCTTCAGGCTATCTTTGCTCACATACTGTGCTATGTTTCCTTAATCTTCACCTCGTGCTTGCCTGCTTCCTGTCATACATTATTTGCCTCTAGTCTTGTTCCTTTACTCTGTTCTTATCTCCTCTACAATTTGAAGTTTTCCTGAGGAAAACCTGCCTAGCAACAACTGCAGCTCTTAGCATGAGATATGGGCCTGGCTCTGAATCTGAAAAGGGAAATGAAAAAGAATCAGCAATCCTTGGGTCTACAACTATGCAATATTCAACTGCTGAAACCATTGTCATTCCGCCCTCTATTTTTTTTCCAATGGGACTACAGAAAGGAATGGATAAAGAATTTTTTCTCCTCTTCACTGTGTTTGATGAGAACATGAGCTGGTACAGCAATGCCAATCAAGCAGCTGGTATGTTGGATTCCCGATTGCTCTCAGAGGATGCTGAGGGCTTCCAGGACTCCAATCAAATGCATGGTATGGTATGAGGAATAGTTTTGCCTTTGACGTTAACTTTGTGACCTTAAGAAAAATGTAACTCTATCCATACTCATATCCAGTTTCTCAAAGTGTTCACCTCACTGATAATCTTTATGCAAGGGACAAGCTATATTGAAGAAGATAATATAAACAACAGTTTTCCTGTTTTATAATTTATTCTTATTATTACTATTATTCTTCCTCTCTCCCTCTCCACCCCCTCTCTCTCCCTGTGTGTGTGTGTGTGTGTGTGTGTGTATGTGTGTGTGTAGGTGTACACAGAGTCTAGGAGAGTGTCTAATTCCATTGAACTGGAAGTGGTTGTGACCTACTAGTTGTGGGTGCTGGGAGCTGAACTCAGGTCCTCTGAAGAGCAGCAAGAGCTTGTAGCCACTGAACCATGCCACCACCCTGCAACAACAGTTGTTCTTTACACTGATGTACCATGATCTGTATTGTGCAGTATGGGAGGCACTGGAAGATGAAAATTGTGTATATGTGATATTCCGTAGGGTGTGACAGTAAGCTGGGGTGATATTCTTTAATTCTTTTTCTTTGTAGTTTTGGTAACAGAATCCAGGGCCCTTTTGCCTGCTAGGCAAGTGCTCTTCCACTAGGCTACAACTACAGCTTTCATGTAGTATGGTCTCCCTCCCCCTTTCCCCCACTTCTCTTACCTCACCAAAGTGTGAGAAGTTTTCTTCCCACAAGCATAGCTTCTACTTATTTCATTTTTTGCATTGTTATGTCCTTCAGTTGAAGTATACACTTTTACATATTTACCTCCAGCCTTTGAAATTCTTCCCAGTTTTTAAGATTTGCACACTTCTCATCACTTAAGTTCAAGGTAGTGACTCTTGTTTCTATGTAGCACTGTGTGCTAAGAATTTTAAAAATATATGCTCTTTGTATTATTCAAGATTGTAATTATTTGTTACATGGTGCTTCATTTTTTCTAGAGTATGTTGTTTATCTCTGTATCTTCCACATTTTATTTATTTATTAGGTTCCCACAACATATGCACTAATTGAATTACTGAACTACAAATCTGTTGGAATATGGATGAAAGAATGAGGGAAAGACTAATCTGAGATTTCAGTGAGAGTCCTTAAATTTTCAATGAGATGTGAATAGCACCCATGAAAATAATTATTAGAACAATCCAAGCAGACTACTAAATGTGTGGGAGAACCTGAGTTCAAAGGAGAAAACTACTAAGGGACAATAAATTTAGGTGATTCATTACAGGATGGAAAACTAGAGTGGAAGATGAAGTTGAATAGGGCTACAAACAAGACATAGGCAGGAGATGAAGAACTGAGGAATAATAATGTTCTCATCAGAATCCAGGGGATTTGTTAAATAAGTCCTGGAATCTGACTCCAGTGAACATGGGAACACAGGAAGCTTTCCCTGTATTTGGGAGCAAGTACATAGTAATAGGATAAATGCCTTTTGCATCCTTCTTGGTTTCCTTCTCAAGGTGGTGCATTATTATGGAACAAGTAAGACACTTTCATGAGTCATATCATTCCACTTCAAATGTATTAAACTTAATAGGCAGCATAGGGATACAGAAAAATGATAAGCTTAGTGTAGAAAAATTTTGGAAACTCAGGAATACGTTGTATTACAGAAATTTTCCTTAAAGGGAGAGGGAGAGAAAGAAACACAGAGGGCATATGAGAGCTAGGACATGATAGATGAGTAGAAGATTAGTAGATTACATAGTGACGAGCCTCTACGGCTGAGGGGAAAGCATGTAAAAACTCAACAAATACACTGAATTAACCAGATTTAAAACATTAAAGATATAGAGATTAATAGGTATGCTACGACAGTATTGTGTGTGGGAGGCATATGCCTGTGTAAAGATTTCAGGGAAGAGTATTTGGAAAGAGGCTTTTTCACAGTAGCTCTATGTGTTCAAATATCTTTGGTTCTAGCAGTGAAGATACAGAAAAGACCTTAGCTTGAACTTGAAACTGGAAAATGCAGTCTGTGGAGGGGGTTGTAGAATTAGAACAGTGAGGAGAAAACAATCAAAGATGATGCAAGAAAACTAGAAAATATAGCATGAAAGTTGGAGAATAGGGAGTAAATGGGAGTTTAATGTTCTCTCTCTCCCTTTGTGTGTGTGTGTGTGTGTGTGTGTGTGTGTGTGTGTGTGTGTGTGTTTGGGTATGTTTATGGATGAGTTGAAGTAGAAATTAGTTCATTGTTTCCAGAGTACGGTAAAGGAGGGGAACGCGAGGTGAGACAAAAAAAAAAAAAAAAAAAAAAAAAAAAAAAAAGCTAGTTTGGGGGTCTCATTCCAAAGGTATTATATGGGTAGAATCCAACTAGCATAACAGAAAGCACAGGAGTTTAGGATGACCTGGAATTTCATGATATGAGGAACCATAGTATAGGACTGATATGTTGCTAACCATGATTTGAGCAGTCTGGTCTCATCTCCCTATTTTGTCTCTTCTTTTCCAGCTATTAATGGGTTTCTGTTCTCTAACCTGCCCAGCCTGGACATGTGCAAGGATGATATGGTAGCCTGGCACCTGCTTGGCCTGGGCACAGAGACTGATGTCCATGGGGTCACGTTCGAGGGCAACACTGTAGAGCTTCAGGGTATGAGGAAAGGAGCAGCCATGCTCTTTCCTCACACCTTTGTGATGGCTGTGATGCAGCCTGACAATCCTGGTAAGTACTACAGCAGCAAGCACAGAATTCACAGGGTTTGTTATATAGGGAGTCTACAGTGACAAGGGATAACATGGGAGGAGGAAGGACTGGTGAACAGAAACGGGTGTGTTCAGGGGGCTTGGAAGATTTTCAAAACACTTCTATCTCTTTAATGTATTGCCCGTGTTCTGATTATTTGGTGTTTTCTTCATTTGCAGAGTGAGTAGGAGGTTGAGAAAGCTCTGTTTCAGAGGTAGGGGAGGGAAATTCATGAACTGTTTGGCTTCGGGACAGTTCTGATATGACAGAGAGTACACTTGGCCACATAACTCTTTGGCCATACAGAGACAAATGATAATACAGTCCTTATATTCTGTTATTCTGTGAAGATTTCTGCAAGCTCTCCTATTTGTGTGTGTGTGTGTGTGTGTGTGTGTGTGTGTGTGTGTGTGTGTGTGTGTGAGATGAAAACAAAAGACTAGAGAAAGCTATGTTTTGTTCAATTACATGCCTTACTTATAACTAAGGTTAAGAAACTCTCTTCCTCCTCCCCTCTCTCCCTCCTTCCTTGCTCACTTCCTTATTCCTCATTTCCTTTATTCTTTTTCCTTTTTTCTTAGCAGTAATTCCTCTCCCTATTTTTTGTGAAGAAATTTGACTCAAATGCTTTTCAGTTTTTCTCAGATTCCATTAATCTCATGTTTTATAATTCACCCGCATTTTCTTCAGTCCCTTGGGTGTATTCTTTTTCTAGTCAGCAGGGGCCAAGTATGTTTGTAAGGAACTTTATGCATTTATGCAGTTTCTACTAAACTTTAATTTTTATTGTTTTTAACTTTTATTTTAGTTGTGTAAATTCTATTTATATTTGGAAAATTGTCCCTTAAAAATAGCAATTCTTTGTAACAATTGAAAAAACTTATTCATGGATGTAAACTTTACAAACATAACACAACAATTTTCTCTTCAGCTATCTTATTATTTCCTATCTACCTAGAACATTTTCTTGGCCAGAAAGAATTGTTAGCAAATTATACACACCATTTAATAGAGTTGAAAGAAGCAAGAGGAACATGCACATGGGGATAAGAAAGCTCTGAATAAGAAGGATCATATTATTGCGCTTTAATAACAAAGCCAAACTCCAAATTTAATCTGCTTAATGAAAAACCGGCCGGGATACCCAGGAACATCTACATCCTCTCTTAGGGTTCACTCTAACTTTAAATGAATGGATTTTTTTTTTTTTTTGCTGCCATGTAGCTTTAAAACATTCTGGTAGATACAATATACAATGATAAGCCTTTATAGACCTGGTTACTTCAGTGACTGAGACAGAGGATTGGTTAAGCTCAGGATTTGTGGGCCAGCCTGAGCAACAGAATAAGATCTCATATGAAAATATAATTAAAAATAAAAAACAAAATGGTGAGAAGTCTGGAGGGAAATATAAAGGTAGGTTTTCAAGTATAAAAGTTTAAAATGTGACTATTGACTAAGATTCTTGAATTTTGTTACTAGTGAAAACAAGTCTTTTTTTTCTTGCTTTGCACATTAATTATCTTTTAAACTTCTTTGTCAAAGAAATGTAAGTCTTATAGTATTGGAATGAGTAAGGCTCCTTTTAAAACACTTAAGTTCATTTATTTTGTTAATTGATACAAATAATATTTACTTGAAAGAGATAGATGACTTCCTCATTAGATGTACTGATTGAGAAAAAATGTCAGAAAAAGAAGTGCAGACTACATCTTTTAGCTTTTCCTCTGGTTCATCTTCCTCTAAATTCTATTAATTCTCACTCCTGGATGACATTTTGAATCTGAACTTTCCATTTGTCCCCTGGGCACTTGCTATTATGAAGGGGGAGAGAGACCACTGTGAGTTGTCCTGCAAAATCAAAGTAATATAATGACTAGTCTAGATCAGAATCTGGCTTTAGAATTCTGTGGAGAATAGTATTGATGGACAGTAATGAATATACAGTTGTGTTTGTTCAGCTTTGCAGATGATTTATGCACCTCACTGTAGCCAGGCACAGTGGCACATGTCTTCAGTTCAAACACCTTAGAAGGCTAAAATAGGAAAATGAATGACCCAAGCCAGAGAACTTGACAACACCCTGGGCAATATAGCAAGACTCCCTCATAAAATTCTATGTTGGAGATTCAGCATGTTATGTTTTCATACTTATGTTTGAAAAAAAGAAAACAAACAAAAACCAAGCAACAAAATCAGATATTAAAGAATAAACAAAATGAAATATTTAAAGAATCCATATGTAGGCCTATTATCATCATTTTTCTTTGCTGTAATCTTTTTCATTTATGTATTTATAATTTTAATGGGCTTATATTACATTTAATTGAAAATATCATCTTGGACTTAAAAATCGCACCCTGAATAGTGGGCCTCAGCTAGTTAGACTGAAATACTGAGACTACTAGATCTTTAATACCAAAGAAGGTGTCAGATAAAAGGTTAAATCCTGAATATATTATGCTCCATTAAACTCATGTTAGTTATTCAATAGCATAGATAATTTTTTTTCCACCTAGAACTCTGATTAGTGTTTCTTTCCTCTGTTCCTCTTTTTGCCATTGGAACTCTTTCTTTGTTCATTATTTCCATCCTTCCTTCTCTTTCCCATTTCCTTTGTGTGGTCAGTATGAAGACATTAATAGTAAACTCTGAATCACCAATAAAATTTGTCACTATTGCATTAAGGGGAAAAAAAATCAAAGCATTTCCTCTCATTGACATTTAGCTATGAACAAACCCAGATTAGAATTCTGTAGTTTGCCCTCTGTCTTTCTGTTGTATGTGTGTAATTGTGTACCTGCTTTAATGTTGTCCTGTGAATCTGCCCCTGCATATTGGTCTGTCTGTCTGTCACACAGAACTTTGCTCTGAATTATTGAACTGCACAGAAAGTATCACATGAGGACGGAATGAGGCTCCTTTCCAGAAATCTTTAACAGAATTTTACAAGGGGTTAAGTCACTCACCCTAACTGACCTGGCTAGCAAGCAGTACTATAAACATTATTGTTTGTCAAGCAATATCTGAATGCTATGTTCAACAGTTATTTGTAGATCTCCATTTTATAAGAATGCTCTCAACTTCTATTTTTGCTCTTTTCAACAAATGATTATTAGAACACATGTGTTACTGTAGGTAAGGGGCATGGAATAGTATATTATTTAGTATTACAGCTATGGGCTAATCTAGGTGGTAAAAGTTGATTAGATGGCAAATCCAAGGGAAGTAAGGTTGGTTGTTATATTGTTCTCTTAAAAGCAGGCTAAATAAACTGGATATGTACACGGTAGGCTAGAAGTTTTAAGTGACCTCAAGGTGTATTATTAACTCTAGTTATTCCATCTAGCAAAATTCCGGACTCTTAGAATTGAAAAATATTTGTATCAGGTTCCATCACCACACTTCTTCCATTTTTGTTTTATTGAAGAAGTAACACATCAATGGAAGCTGTCACTGTTCAAGAGCTGATCATGGTATGGTCTATGGTACGGGCAGCGTAAATCAGCGTTACTTTGTACTGGGTGGTCCTTTTGAAAAGAAGAGAAGGGCGCTCTAGTATTTCGAGAAAGAGGCAGACAGAGTGGTTCTTCCTGTAAAAAGACTACAGTTTAAGATTTAATCCTGAAAAACAATTAGAGGGGTTGAGCCAGTTAGTATAAAACATCATTTCAAGCTTTTTTATTTTGAAGCTAAGAATTTACAATTGTCTTAGTGTGGATGGACTGAGTTAAGGATATGTTACCTGTTGTAGCTTTAAGTGTGGCAGCTGGGACATCAGCAATAATCATTGCAATGAATATTTTGTGTATATATGTTTAAGGGAATAATTAAGTTGCTGTGAAGCAGATTCTTCATGTCATTGGCAAGCCAGATTAGCCAGAATCCAGGCAATCATGGGCTTGCTTTAGAATTAAAATCAGGAGAGAAAATATAATTGCAATGAGAGTAACTTTGGTAAAGGTCGCAAATTAGAAAGCATGCAGTTTGTGTGTGATTGAAAGTCAGACAAGTGTCCCTCCTCTGTTACCAGGTTGTTGTCTTCTGGTTCCACTTCATGGTGTGACTTTACCAGTACTGTTGTAATCAAGAGAAGGCATGTAGGAGAAAGCACAGATGTGAATCCTCAGCCCCAAGTTATAAAGGGAATAGTAACTAAACACAGTTTAGGTCCTTGAGAGAATTTTTATAAAATCGTGGGTTTGGATACAACTCTTTGCTTTTTGTGATGTTAATTTTTATAGGTGTCAGGGGAAAGACTAAGAGAAACAGTTTTTAAAATTGAAAGTGTAAGTTGCTTTGGCAAGTAGCTATTGGGCAGTCAGTACCTTTATCCTCTCCTGATTTTTATTTATGTATTTGTTTTCTGAGAAAGAAATAAGCTTGTTCAATTTTGACTTGTCCTTGGGGTTATAGGACATTCCTTATGGCCATGAGAGATATGGCCATTTCAAAGCTGAAAAAAGAGAAAATGTTTGAGATCATCAGAAGGACCATTGTCCTCATAGCAAAGAAACCCTCAGCAAAATTTTGCAGTTGATTAGTGTCTGAGCTGTAGTAAAAACTAAACCTGAAAAGTTATCAACACAAACATGAAAAATGTTTTAAATATCCGAAAGAAATTTAAGGTTTTGAGACCATGTCTATGAACATTTTACTTTCTTTTTGTTAAGCTTTAGTGGCTAGTACTTACAACTTATGAAAACCCCATTGATTTTAGTAGAGGTATAATACCAATGAATTAAACATAAAAGTTTTAATGTCATATGTACCATCTGTAAGTTTTGTCTTTCACATACTTTGAATCATCTACTCAGACCCTCACAACTTTCATAAATTTTGTACCTTTCCTTTCCATATGGAAACATCTGACCACTTTAGCTCCCCCTCTTTTGTTTCTAAAACTCTTTCTTTACACCCATTTATCCTTTTAGTTTTTATGTATTGCTTTCCCCTTTTATTACTATGAGATATAGGTG